CCAATGTTGCTCAGACCATGTGAGAACCAATCATCATCACCACGTGTATGATCAGGATTGGAGACTTAAATTATTTTCCAATAATACCCTTATTCTGCCACGTGTCAGATTGTAACTGGCTTTTACAAAATATATAGCTAACACGTATATATATTTTGCTTTTCTAAATTTGTCTGTCGACAAATAAAATTTGGTACATGATTGCCAATTTTTATTAATTTCATTGTTCCTCTCTCAATTTGAAACAAACAAAACAAAGGCATGTAGCTTTTGTCATGTTATCTTTCTTTTTTATTTTTTCATTATTTAAGTTTTCTTCATAAGCATAAAATCCAAACATAAAGATTGTTTTTTATATTGTATTATTTTGTTAAAGTCAACCTTTTCATTTGTCACAGTCACATGTTTCTTATAAGAGCAGTCAACTTAAAAAAATAATTATTATTATTATATTATTTTTGTAAAATAGAAATAAAGGCATTATTTGGGACTTGAATTTGTTATTGGGCAAAAGGATAAATTAAGTGAGAGAAGGTAAAAATGCGGTGAACGTGGATCGAACACGTGACCTTCAGATCTTCAGTCTGACGCTCTCCCAACTGAGCTATCCCCGCTTGATGAAGAAGACACAAAGTTTTTATATATTTATATATATTTTGAAATGCTCTGTATGTATAATGTATTCTACCTCCAACATTTGGCCGCACCGCAGTTTGTTCGTTCGTTCTTTGAAGGGGAGCAAGAACTTTTGCCCTCTTTTTGATTTGATTTGATTTCATTTCATTTCATTTCTGTATAATATAATAAGGGGGCGTTTTGTCAATCTTGCAGAAAAGGAGCTCAGCTCACCATTCGGTTCGTTTCAATTCTATCCGTCAACGAGTTCGTCCATTTATCTTTGATTTAAATTTTTTTTTTTTTTTTTTTTTTTTAAATTTTTCTTATTTCCCTTTTTTTTTTTTCAAATACAGAGAAAACTGTTCTACAGAACAGACTACAAATCGCCAGAGACTATATCCCGGACCGTAAGTCCATTAACCCAATCATTCATACCAAAACTGTTCTTCATTTAGTTTTTTCAGTGTGTAATTTTTGATTGTTTCTACTTTCTTTCCTTCTCTAGCTTCTCTCCTTTTTATTTGATGTCATTTTATGTTTTTTAACATCTTCGTAAATTGAAGATCCAATTGATTGGATTCTTGAATAGACTAATTCTTTGTGTCTTTTTTACCAAGAAATTGACAAAGCTCTGGGCTGGGCATTTTTTCTATGAATTTCGATTGTCCGATTCCACATTATAAATTTATGTTTTTTTTACATTGTTTAATGACCCACTATGATATATTTATCAGACACTATGGTACTAGAGTAGAGTAACACATGTAGATTGTTACCCATTCATTGCCATGTCTGCGCTTTTCTAGGAATAATTTTTTTTTTTTTTTTTTTTTTTTTTTTTTTTTTTCTCTTGGTAAATAATATGGGCAATTAATTAAAAAACATAGAATTCTATTTCCATTATACCTAGGAAAAACTTTTAGGAAATTGCTGGAACAGAAACTGCTATTGACATATTCGGTTTTCTATTCACTCATGATCTGGTGGCCTGGTCGACCCAATCATGATATTGAGGGAAGGGAACTTCTCTCCAAAAAAACTATGGAGTTAGAAAGAAATAAACAAAATACGAAGAATATAGAGAGGAAATGTAGGACTGCCTTGTTCTTTTATTTTTCCTTTTTATTTATTCTTTCTTGTACATATCTTTAGCAACATTTGTTGTAAAAATCTCTCACATACCTCATAGTACCTATGTTGAACTTCAACAAACTATCCTGCTCCTTTGCATGATATGTGTGTATCCCTTATTCTCTCTAGTTTTATATCTTTGGGTAACATGAATTGACGCAATTGCAGGACAATGTTAATATTACTGTACAAAAGGGTGATGCTTTCTAATAAAGTTTGATTATTTATCAAAAAAACATATATATATATTACTGTACAAAAGGGGTTTAATCTGGTTAGCTGTTCATTATATAAATTTTAACCCTCTCCCTTCAGTCATTATTACCAATCCCAGATCTAAAATTTTCCAGAAGAACAGAGCAGCACACAAATCCAAACTTTTCTCTTCAGACCTTTTGTTTCTCTCTTGCTCAACCTTGTGCACCCACATTTCCTTCTACCACTACCAGACCCTGGAAGGCTGGAATACACTTATTGCCGACAACAACTACATCAGAATTGCCACAGATTCACCAAAATGTTCACCGTACGCAAGGCAATCATTCTATTTCACTTGAAAAATATGGTAGCTTTCCATAGCCTTGTACCACTTCTTGATCCACTAGAGCGTATGCCATAGTTTTTCATATTCTTGTATCATTTTCCCTTTGGTCCAATAATCTGATCATTTGGTTTCTTTGTGTTCAAAGTATCTTCCAATTATCTTAGGTATTTTATGTATAAGGATTAATGTATTATCAAAGTGAAAAGGAACAAAAAAATGAATAAATAAAAACTGCCAGTCCCATAAATATAATCAAGTCTAAAGTCAACCAATTTTTCTCCAACTGGAACACCTCCTTTGTATTTTTCAATTTTTGTCCTGTCTGCATAGTTTGATGCAAAAATTGAATATGTAGACATGAAATCCATTGTTGAAATTTCATTTTCTTGCCATTTTGATTTACATTGAAAGCATCCTAGACGTACAGAGTCCAACCAAACGTCAGTCAACCAAGCCATTGCCCATCCATCCTCCTCGTGCTCAAATACACAAATTCTATGCAAAAAAATTGAAGACGGATAGTATCAGGTAAAATTGAATAAAAACTCATAAACACACACCTTTTGACCCTTCAACAATAAACCCTCTTTTGAACAGTGGCAGTGGCACTTCCTCATCACCAGTTGAACTCCTATGAACAACCTTGTGCTCTCTCTCTCTCTCTCTTTATATATATACATAGGACTCTTCTCTTTCTCTATGTATTAGGAGTGCTCTTTGTTGTGCGTAGTGTACTGAAGGGTTGTGTATAAACTAGTTGAAATCACGGGTTCAACTTCTGAAATCACGGGTTCAACTTCTGAAATCACATGTTTAACCTGCAATTTCACGTGTCACATTGGTTACATTGCCAAGTTGGCATCTGGCTAACTCAACCCAAAATTGCAACTTGAAGCTATTGTAGACACCATTTGAATTGAATGTATTTGACTATACTCATCATCAGAAGGTGGATTGGCCAAAAATTTTATACTAATGTGGCAACACCAAGTCTGATATGAGGATATGTAAAGGGTCATAAGGATGTGTATTGAGAGGAGCTTGCAGTACTCAAACACGAGACACCCTATTTAGCTTAAAATTTGAAATTTAGTGCTTAAACAATTGTACTTTCAAAAGTTAGGGTGTTCGGTAAAGCTTTCTAGTTTTTCAGCTTATTTGCCTTTTCAGCTCAAAAACTTATTATTATTATTATTTGTTTTTTTAAAAGCTGGATTTGTAAGCTGTTTATACAAATGTGGATAAGTCCATGTCTTTTTTTCTCCTTTAAGTATTGGTTTTAGGATGCACTGTTGTGCTAGAAAAATGCCTTACATTTTCATGAAGCGCATGGCCCTATATAGAGCTGATGCTGAAAAAGGCTGTTGTGTTGTTTACGTCATCTATATGCTTTACACAATAGCATTTTTATTCTTGAAATGACTATGACAATAAGTAAGGGTTGGTTTTTATTTATTTATGCAAGTCTACTTTTGTAGATGTACATTTAATCTGTGTGTTTTTTTCGCCTTTTGTTCTGTATATTATGTAGCTTCAACCATTTCCCTGGTGTCTGCATTTTCTTCATTGGTTTTTCTGTTCTTCTGCACCTGCTGCCTACTTCATATTCTGTATTCTGCAGGTACTGGTGAGAATAATGGTTGGGCTGCCAGTTCAAAACCCTTCTTCTGCCTCAGCACTGTCAGGGTCATCAAAAGACCAGGGGCCCACCATCACAGCATCTGGGGCAGATATGAAGCCAAAGAAGAAGATGTGTTGCGCTTGCCCCGACACTAAGAAGTTGAGAGATGAATGCATTGTTGAGCATGGTGAAGCTGCTTGTTCAAAATGGATTGATGCTCACCTTAAATGCCTTCGTGCTGAAGGCTTTAATGTTTGAGAATTGTCAGGATAGCCAAGCCAACTTGACCAAAAAATGGAAGATGAGACAGTTCTGTTGAATAACCTGCTTTTGTTATGGTTTATACCAACAATAGATTGTGTATATGTCTCTTTGAAAATACAGGAATGAGCCATTCAAGAAAGGGAAGCATTTATCAACTGTTATGGAACTCTCTTCTTCTTCATTTCTTAATTCTGAAATTGAGGTCGTTGCCTACAATAGCCAAAGCTCGTTGATGCTTATGAAGAAGTATCTTCTTGTTTTGTTTGTTTGTTTTTAAATTTGTGTGTGAAAATTAGCACTCTTCAAGGGGCTAACTTGTTTGTTTGTTTGTTTTTAACCTGAAGGGGTTTGGCTTAGTGGATAGAGAAAATAACCAAATGGCTTACAACTCAAGACGTAGGCTTTAAATCTATAAAAATTAAACATTCAAAACTTTGATGTCACTAGAGGTTTGTCTTATTTTTAATTTTAGAATCTTAAGGTTTAATCAAAGTGTGCTTAAGTTAGTTTGGATATTCGATTTTAAAAAAAGAAATTTAATAAAATTTAGTGCTCTCCATTATGACAAAAAGTCCAGAATGAGGTGTGATCCATGTGATGGTATGGTGGTTGATTTAAGTTCTACTCTTTTCTTTTTTTTCTTTTTTCTTTTTTTTTTTTTGAACGATATAAAATCCATTAAAGAGAAGTCAAACGGTATTTACAATGGATTCCATGTCAACACAAATAGAATTTATTCTAAACAAAGAAAAAATGAGCAAGGATGCACATAGGCAAAGCTAAAATAGTATTAAAGACATGATCATACAAGATCCTAACTTGTATTGCAACGAAGAAACTATCATAAGAGATCAATACTAAGGGTTGGTTTGGGATATTCTAAAAAAATATACTTTTTGACTTTTTGACTTATATGGATTGGGTTTGGGTTTGGGTTGGGTTTGATGTGATGTGTTAGAGAGGTGATATGATTTAAATAAGATGATGTGACTTAAATAGGATAGTAACTTTTTGACTTTTTGTATTATTTAGTGTACTCCAAACCAAGCCTAAGACTAGTCAGAGAGGGTAAGCTACCAATAGCATACCCATAGAATCCAGACAAACAAAAATACATAATAAAAACAAAAATAAAACTCAAAAAGCAAACTAAAAACATAGATATGGAGGGAAAAAGTTATCAGATCTGGTGGAGGATGGCCACGATGTGGTGATGGTGGTTTCTGTGGCGAGAAACGGCGAAAGGGCGGTAGATCTCACAAGGAGGAAGAGATTGGAAAGAAAGATCCCCCAAAGATTATTTTGCATAGAGTAAAAGAAAAAAGGGGAGAGAGGAGGGAGGTGGCCGGAGGGAGGCCGAAGCCCCCCTTCTCCTCCTAAGCGGCATACTCATTGAAAACCCTAAGAGAGAAAAAAACTTAGAGAAGAAAAACACGAAAGTCATATAACATGCTTCATTTTTTATTTACGTTCTACTTGATTAGCCGATATCAAAAGAGATAGCATAAAATACAATACCTTTAAAATGGTCACACTGTGGAGCGATAAAACGCAATGGACGATATTAATCACATTGTGTCATTAAAGGAGAGAGTGACAAAATTAGATTAAAAGAAACATTGTATCATCATATGATGATCCCAAATCCAACCTCAGCTTGTTGATTTAGGGTTTAGTTTGGCTTTTAGATCATCGTTGTGTACAAAAATTTTTATAAATTCAAAATTTAGATATGAGAGGTATTATAAATTCAAAATTTTTTATTTAGAAATAATAATTAATAGTTTTAATTCATTTAACTAATTAGAGGTGGACAGCAAATATTTGATCTGTCCAAACCAATCGAACCGAACCAATTCGTCGTATTTTGGACAAATGCATGATGATGAGCGGACAGTTGCGGATTAATTTTTTTTATTTCGCTTAATTTTGGACGGATGACAGATTTGAAATTTCTTTGGCTGCAACCGAATTGTCAATAATTTGTAAAATTTTGTATTTTTAATTTATTTAGATATTCTATTTGTGTTTTCAATTAAAAAAGAGTTTAAATATTCTGCTGTGTTGTCAATTTGTTTTTAATTTGGAAATCTTTTTATCAAATGGCAAGAATTGATATTTGGTATTTTTGTGTGAAAAATATAAGGTTTAATTTTGTTATTTTTTTAAAAGTCAAATTAAATAGTTTTTGAATAAAAAAAAAGTAATGAAATAGTTTTGATAATTGATGGTTTTCTTATATGTATTTATTATTGGTTTTTGAAAATTTACATGATAATCTTTTGATTATGTTAAGTTGGATTGTTATTCAAAAAAAAATGTTAACAAGTTGTTGTATTATGTTCAACTTTATAAAAGTTTAAACTGTCAAACCGATTTGTATCAATTCGCAAATTCGCTCAATTCTCATCCGTCAATTCGGTAGATGGATGAGGATTGATTTTTTCTAATCGGCCTATCTGACGAACGGATAGTGAATTAGAGATTTCGCGGCCGCAACTACCCCTATCACTAATGGATCTTAAATTTTAACAAATTGATTTTTACCGCACAAATCAGCTCTGAATAAATTTTAAAATTGAAAATCTGGATTCCTAACTTTTACCTTAAGATATATATAAAAAAAAATATTATATATGAATAAATTTTGAAGTGTTTTGAAAATTTGATAAAAAAATTGATTTTTTAACTTTTTTAATATTTTTTTTGACAAAAAACTAACTACTTTTGATTAAAAAAGTTAAAAAATTAAAAAGTTGACTTTTTTTAGTTTGTTGCTAAAATGAGCCTTTATATTAAATTTGTTTTTTTAAAAACCATAATAGTCACATCATAGTATAAAGTATCAGGCGCAATTTCGAATATATGTAGGTTCCGTTTGGCAAGTGCTAAACGGGATTTTTTTGACTATTTTAACCACAAAAAATAAAATAAGCTATTTTAGTCACAAAAAATAAAATATCACATCCAACCCATAATCATTACATTCTTCTCTCACAAAAAAAGTCAAAAAAGTCAAAAAGCCCTTCCCAAACTAAACTTTTTAGCCCAGGCTAAAATAGTCAAAAAAGTCAAAAAGCCAAAAAACCAACTCACTTCCCAAACGGAGGCGTAATTTAATAATAAAAAAATAAATAAGTAAAAATCATTAATATAGCAGTATTATTCAAAAGTTTAATAATTATTTGGGCTTGCTTTACTTTTTGCACACTAGGCCTTACTTGGGATAAATTTAAAAAAAAAATTAAAAAATCAAAAAAATATTAAAAAAATTATAAAGTCTATATTATTCAAGGACAATTTGTGGGGAAAGTCACTAGGGTAAAATTATTATTTTGCCCTTTGAATTCAACTACGCAAAAAGTCACAAAGCTAAAAGTCAAAAAGGTAAAATTATTATTTTAATTTTACTATAATATTTTATTACACATCTCTTCGTAAAAAGTTAAAAAGTTATCCTAAAAGCATCCTCATCAAGCTCTTCAAAATTATTTTTTAGCTAAAAATTTTAAAAAATCAACTCCATCAAACTTGCTTGCAGCTCGTCAAAATTTACGATGGTTACAATAACTCGTTACAACAAGCGAGGTGTAGACACCCTATTTTTGACCGTCCTCAAGACTTGGACGTCACCGCTTGAACACCCGGTGATCATCCTTGTTTGTGTTTGTCTTGAGTTCCCGGAGGTCTCGGCTACGCCCCTTGCCTCAGGATCTCTCGACTCGACTGTTTTGTGTTTGATTTTGCACCAAATACTTGTGTTTTGCCTTGGAGGGGCACGAAATGGCTTGTGGGCCATCCCTACACATCACCGGCCATGGCTTGAGGCCACCGGCTGTGTTTTGTTTCCACCGGCCAAATGTTTAGCCGGCCGGCACTGTAGATGGTCGGCCGGCCATCTTTTTTGGCCAAACTGCATTTTTGGCTGGCCGACCACTGCTCATCTGCTTTTGCAGATATTTTCATGCCAGCTGTGATAGCTGGCATACACTCTGCTCCCCTCCATACACGTGTATGGAGGGATTTCCCTCTTATCTAGCTTGTCTTGTAAGCTTGCAAGATTGAACATTCTATAAGAGGAGGTCTCTTCTCCCTCTTTTAGGTTAGACAACATTTTTCAGAGGGCTCTGGTTTTAGGGTTTGAGTTGTTTATCTATCCTATATCTATATCTCTCTTTCTCTCTCTCTCTCTTGTGTTTTGTGTGTGTTTTGTCTTACTTTTGTGCACAAACACCCACCATTACACCTTCCTTTAGCTACTGAGGTACTAAGAGGCTTTTCTTGAAGTTTTTAGACTGGTTTGGAGCCAAAGAAGCAGCTGGAGTGCTGTTCATGAAAGAGGTCTTCAAGGGTAAGGACTTTACCTTTAAATATCCCATTTTTGCATAGTTTTTTTACCTATCTTGCAACTGTTTTTAGGCTTTGCATATAATATATAAAAGTTTTGTTTTTGTCTACTCTAAATAGTTGTTTAAGAGTGTTTTGAGTTTTGAGGTTGTTTGACCCCTCTTAAGCCTTGTTAGGCTCCATATTTGTGCATTTTTGGTGAGCTCCGGGACCATTTTGTTTGGGCCTCCTCACCACTGAAATCTTGAGGGATTTCAGTGGTGAGAATGGTGCCTTGAGGTCCTAAGAAGGAGAGGGCCACCCCCTCTCCTTGTTGTCCTTGAAAAGGGCCATTTTTGCCTCTTGAGGGAGCACCTAGTTTAGGTTCATGTTGATCATGCCTTAACTGATTTTTGTGCTTATATTTCCATGATATAGCATTGTGTTAAGTTGGTTTAGACACACCTTGCATGCTTTGTATACATGTCTTGTAATGCCATATTTTAGCCTTAACATGCTTTAGGTTTTGATCCTTGTTCTAGCATGATTTTGTCCAAGCTTTGTGAAGTTTTTGTGTTTGTTTTAGCATGCTTAAGTTCTGTTCTTAGTCGTTTTGGTAGACCATAGCATGCTTAGTATAGCCACCTTACATTTTGGCTTGTTAGCCTTAGGTGTGTGAGTGTGTAGCATGCATTACTTGCATTATTTCAGTGGTTTGGAATCACTTACCATGTTATTTCAGTCCTTATAACATGCTTGCATACTTGCATTTGATACTCCTTTGTTACTTTAAAAGGTTGTTGCCTCATGCCCCATGAATGTGCTCCTTTGCATGCTTGCATGTTTAAGCCACTTAGATGCCATCTAGGTGTTCCCTTGGCATTGTCTAA